CTCCACCTGAAGGTTTGTGTTAGAGATCTATATAACAGAAAATGTGTCTATTTTGAATCTACTAACAATTGATCTATTTACAGTCTAGGTCTACCTTTGAAAAATGCTAGAACTGATATTGATATATTCTGGGTATTCTGATAGAGTAGGCTTTGGTCAATCAACGGTTAAACATTTTTTGCTCCAATTACCTAACACAGCTCATCTCTCTAGTATCTAATTTTGTGCTTGTTAAATTTTAGCTTATCAATTAGCACTTCACTTTATCTTGTCATGACCATTAGGCTGCAGTTTTGTATTCTCTTTAGACATTAATGTCTAATCAAGATCTGTTGAATTAAAGGCTGACAGTGAATGTATTAGAATCTGTCTATCTGTGCTTCAGTAATCTTATCCATTTGCTTGCAGTAAGCTTCTGTTGCTTTTTTTTTTACTTTGATGTGTTAAAAGGATTGTCATTCTTTAATAGTTTTAGCAATGGAATTATTTCTTTGGTTGCTTTGTCAGCAGTACATTTGTTCCCCTCCAATCTGCTACCGGAGTTTGTTTTATAGTCTTAATTAGGACAAAACTGCTTCCTGGATTTTGTTGTAAAATAATGCCTTGATTCTCTTTAGATATGGAAGTGAATAATTTTTATACTGATTTTATATTTTAGAATCTGTTACATATTTTATGGCTGAGTTATTCTTTGTATGCTTGCAATAGCAATAGCAATAGTACTTAGACTTATATACCACTTCATAGTGCTTTACAGCCCTCTCTAAGCTGTTTACTGTCCCCAACAATCTGACTCCTTATTTTACTGACCTTGAAAGAATGGAAGGCTGAGTTAACCTGAGCTGGTCAGGAGCAAACAATACTGCATTCTAACCACTGCGCCACCATGGCTCAAGCAATTTACAATCAAGTAGAAAATGTTAACCTATGGGGAGGCAAAACATCAGAAACCTGCACCTTTTCTAATACATTTTATTAAAAGTAATATTTCATGAGTTCAAATTTATAAATTGGAAAAGGTACTACTCAATTTTTTCTGACGTTTTGCAACCAAAGTGTTTCATCGTGTAGTATGTATGTCTTTCCTCTTTTTCTGTCTGTATGTACATTCAAAGCCAGGGAATATTTGTGTAAAAAATATGTGCCCATGCACCTAAGTTCTCAGTTGTGAAGGTGTAGGCCAGCGGTTCTCAACCTATGGGTCGTGACCCCATTTGGGGTCGATCGACCATTTCACAGGGGTCGCCAAGCAAGGCTGTCCGCCATTTTTTCCCCCTTTTCCAGCGGGTGCCTTACCTCCCTTGAGCTGGGCCAGCTGGTGGTCGGCCTGCTCCGTCTCTGCTGCTTGCCAGCTACGCCTCAGCCGGCGCAGGGGGCGGAACCACGCATGCGCGGCGCTCCTGGGCAGGGAAAGCCCTCGACTTACGACCGATTGGGTAGTCCTCGACTTACGACCAGTTTAGTCCTCGACTTACGACCGGTTTAGTCCTCGACTTACGACCGGTTGGCATTAAAAAGGTTGAGAACCACTGGTGTAGGCATTCTTACGGCCTTTGGAATAGTTCGTATAGTAGTTGGACACTGCTTAAAGCTATATGAATGCACATAGACAATGTCTTACTATTAAGGACAGCTTTTACTTCCACTTACTGAAGAACTGAGTTTTAAATAGTAAATTCTTTTGATGTGACAACTTACTAAGCCAGGAACCAACAACCATTTGGTTGTTCTGTGTTTGGTTGTCATTTTTATATTTTGTATTTTATATTTATATATTTATATATCACATATATATATAAACCAGGAGAAACCAGGAGATTGTGAGTTCTAGTCCCATCTTAGGCACAAAGTGAAATGGGAGACCTTGGGCCAGTCACTTTCTCCCAGCCCTAGGAAGGAGGCAATGTCAATTCACTTCTGGAAAATCTTGCCAAGAAAACTGCAGGGACTTGTCCAGGCAGTCTCCAAGAACTGGATGTGATTGAACAGGAGAATAAGTAAATAAATGTTTTATTTAGTTTGTTTTTTGTTGTATGCCACCCAGAATCACATTATTTGAGATGGGTGACTTTATAAATCTAGACTTTACAAATACAAATAAATAAATAATGCTGAGAACACTTGAGGCATCAACAGGAAATAAAACATTTTATTGGATATTGTGTAGTATGTATGTTTTATTTAACAACACCTGGAAAACTCTACTGTGGGATTCACTACACAAAAGTGAAACAAAAGATAAACCACCTTCATCAAAACTAAATGTAAAATACAGCTAAACTTGTCAGCTCGTGGGTCACGAGCAGTATGGCAGGATAGAACACCCCAAATGTTTCTACAAGATACAGAGAAAAAACCCCACACATAGAAACACTCAAGCAGGCAGTAAATATACACAAAGGCAACTAGGATCTTTCTACAGCATCAGATTCTAATACTTTACACAGCTTTGTCAGGAAGGTACATGTGGCTTCTTTTGAGGATGAAAATGTCATCTTGGTCAAATAGCAGACTTTTCTGCTAAAAATGATGGAACATTACAAGCCAATTCCACAGTGACATTCATTCTGGCAGTGTAAAAAGAGAATCAGTTTAGAATACCTTCACACAATGAATCAATTCTGGTAGCTTCGGTCTGAAATTTCTCTCCCATTATGCTGATCAACTAAAAGAAGTTACAGCAGAACTGAACCCTCTGTGTTTAGGCTCACTCTGAGAATTGGTGGTCGTATACAATTACAAAAGGACCCTCTTATATATAATTCAGCTTATCTGATTCAATTATGTCTTTTCCTCTTTGATGTAGAATGGTGTTTCTCAATGTCAGCAACTTTAAGATGTATGGACTTCAACTGCCAGAATTCCCCAGCCAGCAAAACTGCTGGCTGGGGAATTCTGGGAGTTGAAGTTCACACATCTTAAAGCTGCTTAGGTTAAAAAACACTCATGTAGAGAATAGAAAGAGCACCAGAATAAATAAATGTTGCTCCTTGTGGAAAGTTAAATAGAAACTGGATTAAATTGTCACAATCCATTTGTGGCTTGTGAGTTCAATTCTCTACATTTCATAAGTAACATGCCAGCTTAGAGCTCTGAAAAAGGAGATCTGTCATAAAAAAAACCCACGACTGGGGATGCCTTTTTTCTTAAAAAAGAAAACTATATTTTGAAATTATTTCTGAGGAAATTCCACACTTACCACCAATTTTTTTTTTTTTTAATGGGAAGGGGGGGGTATGCTTTCTTGGATTTTTTATTTTTATTTTTGGTGCTTAGTGTTCCTGAAAATAGAACCTGTGTTTCAACATATTAAAATATATTTACAATCTTTTAAATAAATATGCAGCATTTAAATAAATTAATGAAAGGGGTCTCCAAGGAAGAAACCCCAGTTGCAAAAATAACGCTCCGATGTGACACAAGGAAATAATATAAGCTAAAGTGACCATTGGTCTTGTCTGAAGGACAGCCTTTACCATCAACCTGGGGAGAGATGTGGAATATTGCACAGTGTCGACAAAATGCTGTGTTGTCAGTCCATTCTATATGATGCCTTGTCCTGTGCATAGCTCTTCAGTTCTGAATTGGTCCATAGCTATAAGAACATCTTGTGCTATGCAATCCTTCGGCAGTGCAGTAGAAGGGAATGGCAGTATTTTTACAATATCACTACAGAATAAATTGATTGCTATCCACTGAGAGAACTACAGTTTCTAAGCACACACGGCAGTCACAGTGATACACAGAGCAGTCTTTTAAGACGCTTATGGAATGACTAATAGCTTCATAATTGTGCCATTTACTACATAGTAACATTGAAAACATTTAAAAACTCCTCCTGAAACGAGCATCTAGTATACATAAGAGGTTGCTTCAGTTTGCTAGAACTTGTTCTTTGTTTTGTTTCACTTTTTTTAAAGGACAAATTAAAACTTATTAGTATAAATAGTATATAAAAGGTCACTAGCTGTTATCTTTTGGCTTGCTTTGAAGTGCATTCAGAAATATGGCTAATTTTTTGTCCTCTTTTGATGGGATTGTACAATACTGTCTCGTCACCATGAAACTACTTTTGTATAATAAACACACACGGCTGTGATTTTTTTTTTGTTTTGCTTTAAAAAATATTCTGCATTCCTTCTCATCTGGCTTAGTATAATAAAATATTTTGTTACAAAGTCTAATGTGCAAACTCATTAGAATTAGAGAATGTGAGAGCACAAATGGGATTCACAGTATGCAAATTCGTATAAAGGTGATAAAAGGAGAGCTACTTGTCTTCAAGTATATATGTTTGCCACGGGTAAGAGCAGGGCTGCTGCTGCTGCTACATAACCCTGAAATAATTCCCACACATAGTTTATATGGTGCTATGTGTAATATTTCATGCTCCCACCTCCCTCCCTTGATGCAACTGTACCTTCATTTCTAAGTGTAAAGCCATGATTTCAGTTTGTTTATACACACATATATATACAGAGAGAGAAAGAGGAAAAAAAGTGATATATCAGCTTCTGCTATGCTTCCTAGAAGTCAGTCCTGCTCAGATCATGCAAAATTGCCCACAAGAAAAGTCTACCATTGGATTCATTCCTTCAAGAACATATCTTGATATTGTAATGGTTCAGTTGAAAGCTCAGATTTAAGTTGTCCTTTAAGATGTCAGTGTAACACTACTAGTGCCTTACAAGTTGGAATTTTTGCTGGAATGCAGACAATAGTTACCCTATAATATAATTATCAGCTCTCCTATATCTCAGTCAATTTACATAATTTAAAATATAACATCTTATTAAAAACATCTAGATATACACAGATTAGGAAACATTTACGACAAACAAATAAACAGACTAGAAATAAATTTTTAGATACTGGTATGTACAACTGTGTGATACAATAAATAATTTCTGTCATGCTCTATCTACACATATTGCTTAAAAGAAGAGTAGATCTGAGGGCAGTGGTGAGATGGAGTGCCTTATAGGGCTTTTTCTACATTAAAGTTGTGCAAATTAAAACAAGAGTAGAAGTACCACTGATCTGTGTTGGGGATGCATGGCTGGAAATAAAAGGACCCATATTACTGAGGTATTTACAGATACTGGCTAAAGAGCACTATATGGGCAAATGCAGAAAGGCCTTCTTTTCACATTTCACTTTCTTCCTACTTCTTGACAGCAAGCATGGCATCTACTTCTTCCTCTGGTTGTAAGGTATGCCACTGTGCAATGGGTCGCCTTGGGTTGGCCAACATGTCTGACCAATGTCGCAGCTCTGCACCAGTGCTGTTGTAGCCCACAAAGACTTTGCCAATGGCATCATTCTTGCCAATCTTGTCATAGTCCAAAACAGTCACAACAATTTGCACTTTCTAAACAATGGAGAGAGAACAAAGCAAAGTTGAAAAATGCAAATCCATACACTTTGCTGCTGAGGTTGTCAGAGCTAACACAATCCATGTGGTAAGTGGGCAGCAATATATGAGAAGTTCAGATCTGGTTTACCTTGGTTCTCCTGCAGCCTCCTAGGAATTATATTCTATAAATCCCCCTCCAAAAATCTTATCATTGGCAGTTTTTCAGTTATATAACTGAGCCCCTTCTTCTATTATAATTTCTCTCTAAACTGGATACTGAAAAAGTTGCAATAATCTTGCCTGGGATGGTGCCAATGCTTCAGTAATGAGATTGCACTGCCAAATCCCTCTTCTTAAATATTTATGTACTGGCAATGTAAGTCTTATGGTTGAGCACAGAGAGACATATTTTTAAATCAAAACTTTGTGTTTAAATCAACAGATACAATATGAACAGATGAATTTTCCTGCAGTCTGTTGTAACAATGCTTCAGCCTCAGTGGCTTGGTGAAATTGTGCTGAAGAAGACAATGACCCTTATCACTTCATTTATATATCAAACTGGAAAGTTAAGCTGTAATCCTATAAATAGGGATGGACAGCCCTGCTTTTTTGCCAAGCGCTGCATTCCCGACAGTGGTGGGATTCAGCCAGTTCGCACCAGTTTGGCACAACGGGTAGCTAATTTTTTGTTGCCCAGGCCCAGAATGGACTTCTGGAAGCAATATGTGAACTGGTTGTTCACATATTGAATCCCACCACTGCCTTGAGAGTAATTTATAGAGGACTATATGCTGAAAGTGACTGAAATTTAAGGAAGCAAGAGAAGGGCCACAAAGAAAGATGGATGACCATTTTTTCTTTCCTAAGCTTTTTGATGTTTCTTTTTTTGTCTTCTGTTTTTATCTCATATTTCTTTTTCTGTTTACTTCCAGAGGGCTTTTAAAATGAGATAAAAGCATGGAACTAAGCTGAGTACTCTGGATTGTCAAAACCTACTATTTAGTTATGTATTTGCTGCTGGAATTGGGTATGTCTAGTTTAATGAAGAGAAGGACGAGGGGGGACATGATAGCAGTGTTCCAATATCTCAGGGGTTGCCATAAAGAAGAGGGAGTCAAGCTATTCTCCAAAGCGCCTGAAGGCAGGACAAGAAGCAACGGGTGGAAACTAATCAAGGAGAGAAGCAATCTAGAACTAAGGAGAAACTTCCTGNGAAGTTTTTAAGAAGAGACTGGACAGCCATTTGTCCGAAATGGTATAGGGTTTCCTGCCTGAGCAGGGGGTTGGACTAGATGACCTTCAAGGTCCCTTCCAACTTTACTATTATTATTATTATTATTATTATTATTATTATTATTATTATTATTATTATTATTATTATTATTATTATTATTATTATTATTATTATCATCTTATAAGTATGGTTTTAGTTACGCAGTTTAGGAGAAGAAATTTATAATTATTACTGCTCTGCCTTTAAATAATATTGATTTGTTAATATTAATCAAATCATCTGAAAAAATGGAAAACAACAAAACTGATTTTATCCTGAACTGTTGGAATAAAATCACCACTGAATTTTCTATTTAGCACCCATTGCTGCTTAATAAAGTACTCATTATGTGTTGCCTGTTTGAAGAACTGACGTTCCTAAGTATTGTATTATTTATTTTTTACCTTTTGTAGCTTCCTCCCTTGTTTCACCCCATGCAGGACTATTGTATAGGTATTAATGAAGGTTCCTGAGAAGAGGAGCAGAATTTTAAGGTGAAGAAGGACTTGCAAGTTTGATATTACCTGGATTTGCTCAAATGGTACTTCAAAGCTGAATGATTCATTGTAATAAGGATTCAGAGTGTTCTTCTTAATTGTTGTCTTCTTCTTCTTCAACCGTTTTCCATTCTGCATCAGATGAATTTTCACATAGGGATCTAAACAACAACAGATACACGTTTTTCAGAAGTTTAAAGCCCTAGTTTAAATCTACATAACAACACAGCAGTCAAATTTTGATCATATGACCACAGATGTGCTGCAATAGCCATAACCTCAAGGACCAGGCATCAGTACCATTTCTTCAGCAATGTCAATGTAATTTCAAATGCTCACTGAATAAATAGTTATTAAGTGAGGTCTATCTGTACTCCCAAGTTTGTTTGTTTTTAAATCAACCCAAAAACATTTTTTCTGTACAACTACTAATAGCTGCCTCAATTTCAATTAACTAATAATAAATTAATAGTAGGTTTGCATTAATCAATGGCAGACATACAGTATTTTCTAGGAATAAGCTATATTTCATTATTCTTGTCCTATTTGCTAATCCAGTAATCAAACATTTTTTTATGAAAAGGCCACTATATTAATTGCTTAAATAGAAATTGTAAATGGTATCCAAATTTTATGATGGTTAAGTAAATCAGGAATGGAGATCAACTGATTAATGCATTCATATTTAAAGAAAAGGATAAAAATAGTTTAAATCTACATAACAACACAGCATGTCAAATGTCAATTGGATGGACAGGAGGAAAATGTAAAGCGATTATAATAATTGATTTTGCAATGTCAGGAGTCTGTGGCCAGGCAATCAGTGCACTTGTACTGATTGTTGTTTACTTTCTTTTCTTTTCTTTTCTTTTCTCTTTATCACACTAAATTTGGACTCCTGTTGAAGCACTGGGCTATCCTTGAACAGTAGGAGATGTAAGCCACACATCCAGCTAATAAGGAAAAGAAATCTAAAATACAGAATCTAAAATCACTGAAATCTCTTGAGTGCAGCCACTGGCCGTTAGTGCTAGTGGTCTCTTTTAAAGGTTGGTACTTCTGGTCCTCCTGATGAGGCACTCCTTACTATATTGTAATGAGAAGGACTTGGCTTTTCATTATAGCCCTATCCTAAGGAGAAGGAGAGTTAAGTGAACCATATTGGTCCTTCGGTTGCTCTAATTAACATTCAACACATGGAAGGCTGGCAGAAGATGAAAAATTCACAATTAGTATTGTGCGTTACTGATTTTACAAGACTATCGCAAGGGAGGACTAATAGAGAAGCTTTTAAAAACAGTGCAACTGACATGCTTTGTTTTACTGCCATTTAATGGCAGACAATGTCAGTTCATTACTTAGAGGCAAACAAAAGACTGGTGTCTCTATTTAAATGAAAGCTGAGGTATATGTACAGAAATCTTGATCTCAGAACCATCACTGCTCATTTACAAAATGCGTCTCCAATATCCATAGCAAGTGGCTTTGTGGACAAGAGAGATTTCATTTAGAAAATAATGAACAAACTTCTTGATGTGATAGGCAAGTGAAAAATAAAGTGTTTTGTAGGCAGTAGCACAGATATGAATTATGCATCAGAAGCATCAAATGTACATGGATAAGGTAGAGTCTGTGGATGCATCAGGAGAGAATTAAGTATTCCTTCAAATAAAAGCTTGAGTGACAGAACTTTTAATGCGAAAACTAAACTATATATAGTTAGGTACTATATGTTTTTACATTCTCTTCTTCAGAAAGAGAAAAACCTATTCTCATGAATAGTCACTTGGGCAGAATACTAAAGAAAGACAGTGAAAGAGAATGACAAGGCTAGGACACAATGATTATACATTGAATGCAAAGATATTGATCTTTAATAAAGGTGTGCAAGTCCTGTGGGCTGATATATATAGTTCAAGTAATATACTGAAGTACATTCTGCAGCTTCTATTTGTTTTTGTATTTTGAGGGGAAGAAGTAGGGGTTGATATTCACAAATCTTCCATCTTATTACAAAAAGAATTGCTCTGCAGATTAATACTGTTGCAATATAGTGAACAAACACTGGAAAAAGTAGTTTAATAAGAAACTCTATCTTATAATTTTCTTGCTGCTTTGCCTGGTTGTGAAAATTCTAAGGGCTTAGGGTTTAACTATGTACTATCTCAACAGAATACAAAATAAGCTTTGCAGATTGCCAGGACAGGCTTCCAAATTCAGAAGTTGTTCCTAGTATAAAGGCTTAATCTTTGGTATTCCAATGCGGTCCCCACCCAGTTTTGAACTCACATTGTAATCTCTTTCACTCATCTTTTTTGCTATGCAGACTATGCAGATGCCTTCAGTGTTTATATGCATCTGATTTGGGCCTGAAAATAAGGGTGTGGGGGAAAGGTGTGTACTTTGATCATTACAATACAGTTGTAGACAAAAACATATTTCTGATGGTACTTGGCTTATCCAAATTAGTCTAAACTACCATTCCTAAGAAATGTCTTCATACTTCAACATCTGCAGAAAGAATAGGCTAACCTGGGGAGATGGTCATGGTGGTGGAATATAAATAATAATATTAATATTAATAATATCAATACTACTACTACTACTATTACTACTAATATCGCGACCTGGCCATTGAAACTGCACGATTATGGATGAAACGTGTAACAGTGATACCCATTGTCATCAGGGCACTGGGAAATATGTCCAAAAACTTTGCAAAATATTTCAAGAAACTGCAGCTTCCTGCAATAACTCCAGCAATGCTACAAAAAACTGCGCTACTCTAAACATCTTACATTTTAAGGAGGTACCTGGTTGATACCTAGGATGCTGGCAGCAACCCGTGTCAACCATCAGCGCCAGTTAATTTGAATGTTCAATTGACTGAGGTTCACATAATAATAATAATAATAATAATAATAATAATAATAATGATGATGATGATGATGATGATGATGATGATGATGATGATGATGATGATGTTGGAAGGGATCTTGGAGGTCATCTAGTCCAATCCCCTGCTCAGGCAGGAAACCCTATACCATTTTGGACAAATGGCTGTCCAGTCTCTTCTTAAAAACTTCCAGTTTTGGAGCATTCACAGCTTTTGGAGGCAGGCTGTTCCACTGATTAATTGTTCTAACTGTCAGAAAATTTCTCCTTAGTTCTAGGTTGCTTCTCTCCTTGATTAGTTTCCCTCCATTGCTTCTTGTCCTGCCTTCAGGTGCTTTGGAGAATAGCTTGACTTCCTCTTTTTTGTGGCAACCCCTGAGATATTGGAACATTGCTATCATGTCCCCCCCTCATCCTTCTCTTCATTAAACTAGACATACCCAATTCCAGCAACCGTTCCTTATATGTTTTAGATATAAATGCGTCATTAGTTTAGGGTACTTGCATTGGCACAAGAAATCCAAGTCCAGCCCTCCTCCCTTGAATTCCACTGACCCTTATCTATCACCAATTTAGTGCTGACTGTTAGTTGACCAGATTCTTGTGCATAAACTTCAATAAATTGTTTACATTGCAACCAACATAATGATCCTGTTTATTTGTGCCTGACAGCATCCTTCTATTCTGCAAGAATCAGATTCTTAATAATACCAATCATAAGACACTAAGAACCTATCCCATTTTCCCCATCTTACCAGATACTTTTTTCAAGTAAGAAAAATGATGGAATAAGTAATGCAAAACATGGGAGAATTACAAATGGAAGGCATCGTATACTTCATTTAAAATTTCACAAATTGAAAACTCTGATTCTACAATAAGGGTCTGTTTGAGTTATATTGCAACAACTTATAGGGAAACAAAGGGAAATAAGGAGAGATCCAATTTTATGTTTCTATCATGAGATCACAAAGGAACACCAAAGTTTGAACAAAATCTCTAAACATCCTTAATCGGATTCAAAGAAGAACAAGCATATGCTCTGTTTCAGAATAGATCTGTCTACTGTTTCCCCTCTAATGGCTGTGCATGGCTGGGGGAAGATTGGGCAATTGACAAATAACCAGTCTATCAACCAGGCACAGCCATTATATCTTGTATGAGTAAATGTTCAGTTATACTTTGATAACAACAGTTTTGTGAGTGATTGTCTGTCATACTTTTCCATACTGCAAGTTAAACTTTGAAGAGAAATGTGGTTGTAGAAGGGCTGGCTGGCATCATGTGTCCTTACAGACAAGTAGGATATATTTATAGCCTTCAGCTGTATCAGAGGGTTCAAATGCCCCCATAAGGAATTAAAAGACAAACATAGTTCAAGGCCATCAGCCAACCCCCCCCCCTTCTCTCTGTCTCTCTCGTGAGAAGATTATTCAGGATGTGGCTTTAAAAGAGGGATACTTTGTCTTAAGAATTTTCTTCCCCTATGTTTGTGTGTCAGAACAGATAATGAAGGCATCAGAAATAACTTCTAATGAGATTAGAAAAATCACATACATGACTGGCCTAAATTAATATCTGTTACATAAAAGAAAAGCTATGGTGGAAAGGAACTAAATTTCTTCAGGAAAGGAACAATGGGAGGCACCGTTTCCAAGGAATGGTGCAAGAACTGGGGTTACATCAATGTTGTACTTCACAGCACTCTGTCTTTAGGTTTCTATGGCAACAATGGTCAGAAGCAGATCCTGGAGATGAAATCCAGGACTTATTACCAGCGGGAGCAGGAGGGCCCACATACACTACAAGACTGGTTAAGGACAGCAACGTACATCGCCAGCTAGCAAAGAGAAGTCAGGACTTAAACAACCTAACTGAATGTTGAACCTCCCAAATTCAGATCAATGCATTTCCTGTTTATTATTTATTTCTGAGACCCTTTACCCATTATCCTTATAACCTATTGCCTTTACTTTTATTCTTCTTTTGTTTCTGTCAGAGGCATGTCAAAGGAACAGTTAGGTGGCAAACGTTCCTTTCATAATCTGAGTAAATTGTTTATTTCTACTTAGATTGCCACCTACAGCACTTTGAACCTTAACTGGCCACTTAGAATAATTTCAAATGTTAAATGATGTTTTGGGAAAATTGAAAGAGAGAAAGTTCTCCAGACATTTATAAATAACTGAAAAAAAATAACTGGAGTATCATGTCTCCTGTATAATATGGTAGGGAATAAGTAAATATTGATGATGTTCGTGTGTCT